GTTCAGCACCATCACATTGATCGAGCTGATGTGGAACGACAGCAGCTGAAAACACAAGATGAGAAAAAGGTTAACACTTTACACATATCAGTAGCAGCAAAAATGTGAGCTGCAGTGAGGCTCCATACTTGGGACAGGAAGCGTAGCGTTGTGGGGCTGACTGAAAGCTTCCCAGACTTTTTTCCATGGCTCGTCTTCACCAAAGGTTGGAGTGGTGCTTGCAAGTCAAACCTAACTCTGGTTTCACCAACACACAACGCCAGGTATCTCCTGAAACACAAACATGCCGAAACTGTCTCAAATAATGGAGTTATGTATCCTCATATTTAAGGGTTTAGCATCTGGAATTGATTTGCTAAAATTTGTGACAACTTACGGCAAATCCTGGTTTAGAAGTTTACTTGAAATCCATATTCTGTCAATTTCCTGTCATAAAGAGAGTCACTGTTACAGTATAACAAATCACAAAAGTACCACTGGCCATTAGTGAGACAAACATGTACCCCTGAAATAGGAGCAGCCTCCTTGAGTGAGCTCACTGTATAAATGTCATGTAAACACAGTGTGTCTTACCAGAGTATGCTGGGGGTGAAACTGGATACTGACTCCTTGGACAGAAAACAGCCCGACTGATTTGATCTTTAGATCAGCATTCAGTGCAGTATGGAAGAATCGCACAGCCAGGGTGCATATGAGCCATCTAGAAGTAACAGACAAAAGCAGAGATCTTGCACATAAATAGGGAAACTCACTGACAGGAAACATATGGGTTAAATATGAGTCAAACTACATCAATGTCGCCTGCAATTTGCAATCACTGACACACTGTAGAAACTGATGCTTCTCTTACCTGAAAATGACACATAACAAGACAATCCCACAGAGCAGTATGAGCAGGAAGGATATCAGCAAGAGAGACATTGTGTCCCAAGTTGTTCACACCCAAATCTCGGACATGAGTCTGGCTGCTCCAATATCAGCTATCAGCTGCTGTCAAAGAGGAAGAGATGCACTTCAGTTACCACACCTTACAGTCAGGTGTGTGACTGACTGGTGGCAGGAAAACAGCTATCAGTGACTTGTCTATCACTGTAATAGGCTGACGCAACATTTGCTATGCAAATTCACGAACGTTAGTTTGTGTTTTTCAGCTAACAGTCACAGCTAGCATCAGAGAGCTAACATTGCTAATTTACTAGTGTAGTTACAAACCGAACATGAAATAGCATGTAGCTAAACTTTATCATTATAGTGTGTAAAACAGTTACCTTAAAGCAGTCCTTTTTAACAACCCAACAGTGGCAACACAGTGGCTCATTGTTAAGAGGTAGTAGCTCGAACTAATCAAACATGAAATAGTTAAAAATGTTGGTCGCCGCGTCATCCGAAAATCAGTAGCAAATCCGTGCTAACAAGCTAATGCTACAGCTAACTTAGCTAGCATAGCTGCGAGACTGGTGCACAAGTTAGCGCTGTTTTTGTAACTACTGTAAATGTCTTTACCTTCCGTTGACTCCGCTTAATCTTCAAGATGACTTACCCGGACATATTCAACTGTTTTCGTAGCACAGAGCAGTTTCATCTGACAGTTCACTCTGCGCTCAGAGTAAACACTCCGGCTCTGTGCTGCCTGCCTGGTCCGCCCTGCTGCTGCTCAGCTGGCAGCTCAGTTCACTTGCAGCACAGAACTGTGACAAGTGGGAGAGTTGCTGGGGCACCGCCAACAAAAAACTGCTCAAGCAAATATTAATATTTAACAATGCATTCAAACATGGAAGGTTATTGAGCAGTTCACACCCCACTTTACATGCATCATGAAGAATAAAACAATTCATACACAGAAAATACAAACTCTTTCACAAAGATGAAAAGATAAAAATCATTTATTCAACCAGATGAGTGCCATTATGTAATTTCTACAAGTAACAAGATTCTGTGTTACTCAACATGACTAAACAATGCATGATACCGAATGCATTTATCTGTAGAGAGAGTGCTCTTACAACATGATGCATTTCAAAGCATACTTTAATGGTAAATACTCAAGGTTGGACTCAAGGTCCCAGACTCTCAAAAGCTCCAGGTACACAACAGGCAATTGGGTTTTGGTTATTTGATTGGCTGCTAATTTAAGGAATCTATACTTCTGAAGTCCAGTATCATCAATAAGTCAGGTCCTGCATTATTATGATGTGTGCACATTTTTTATTCTAGATTAATTTGTGCATGCATGCTACATTTTTCTAATTAAAGTTGTTTTTAACTGTTGCAAATTAATCTTGCAGCCAAGTAATTAAGTGCATTAATTAGTTCATATACAATGCATGGACAATGGATGAAGGAGGGTCACCAGGGGCACAACAACAAAACATGACTCTTTAATGATTTTAAAAGAAGTAGTTGCATTAAATAGATTTTTCTGCCCACCTCCCTGCCTGATAGTGACAATATTTATTGAGAAAATGTCCATCAACTTGAACTAGTGGTCCTTTCACAAAGTGCTGTCAATGCAACTGTGCCTCGTGGCGTACACCCAGGGGAAAATAAATCTCATGCCGCCAGCCTCAGGATAATTGAGTTGTCATTACAAGAAGATTTACACTACAGGTGTCTTGTTCAGCATCTCATCATCATATGAACCTGTGAGATATTCATGGTGCACAATTCTCCAGGCAGTTCATCTCATGCAGCAGCTTTCTGTCTGTTGTGTTTGGCAAACCACTCATCACTTTTATCTTCGGCGATAGCCTAAAAAAAAAAAAAAAAAAAAAGAAGAAAAAAAAACACGTTTAAAAGCAGACAGAGAGCAGGCACAGTAAATATCAAACACATGTTGCATATTTTATGTTGAGGGGAAAATATTGGAGCAACACCAACTTTATCAAGGAGTTCATTTCCTTTGGGATCCACCATGGACAGTTGCCTGAAAGCCTCGTCTCCCACAAAGCAAATCTCATGACCGTCCTAAAACAAACATGCTCCAGTTAAAAAATTTTTAATAGAGACTAATTTCACTTGATTATAATAGTAATGCACTTACTGGGTCAGCCAAAATAACCACTTCTACTGTGGCTTTTCCAGGAGTGTCCAGGCTGACTAATGGAGTGAGAATTTTCTGATTTTCCTTTTTCATCACGGCTTCGAGGTCAGGCAGCTGTGGAATGAAAAAAACAAATAAAAAACATTTATGATGAAAATGTTGCCAGTGAAAGTTACTTTTCTCCAATATTAACAAACACAAGAATGTAACCATGAAATAATAATTTACTTGCTCCCGTGGGCATGAAAAAGCTATTCTCCCAAATGCTGTTCCATGATCTACTGCCCCACCGTTATCATGAAGCTCCAGTTTACACTGCATAAAGATAAAAAAGAAAACAGTCAGACTAAAAGACATTCCTGATTTATTAACAATGGACTTAATTATTTCTTTGATACTTAAATTACTTGAGTGTCTGCAAATCCCATCAGCACTGTTTTCTTTTCCTCGTTCTTTTCTATCAGCTTCATTCCCAAGAGCATAGACCAGTAGTGGGTCGATCTCTGGAGGTCTGATACTCCGAGACAAACCTTCTGCACAGGGTCTAGGAACAAATTATCAAATGGTTACTGCATGAACAGGTTACTGAATGCAGACATACAAAATGACCTGTGACACATACCAGTGGAAGGCTGCTCTTTGTCCACAATGTAGAAAGGATAACCTCCTGGAGCCTGGGTCAGATACAGAGCGTCTCCTACCTCAGTGAGAGGCCATCCCAGACGTTTAGCATTGCTTACAGCTTTGCTGGACTGCAGAGTCAGACCCTAAGGTGAAAAAAATATATGATATCACCCCTTTAACTGACTGCTGCAGCCACTGACCACAACATGGTGTTGTTCTCTGTAAGTTCCCAGTGGAACTCTGACCCACCAAGAAGTCATTGCCAAGTTGATACTCCCCCACCCCATAGTTGTATGTCAGTTCAGCAACAAAATGGTCTTCTTCTGGGCCAAAGCCAACCATTGTCTTACTCCATTTTCCATCGTAGGGGCTGTGTGGACACAGGAGGAAGGCAGCAGTCAGTAAGGTTGTTATGAGGATATTAACAATACTGTGAAACTGTTACACAGCTCTATGAGTACAAAGTTCAGTTATGTTGTCTCATATCTACCCGTTACACGTTGCTTTGCAGCCTTCCTCAAACTCCTCATGGCGTAAAATCTAAAATTGATAAGAAGACATACAGTAAGTATTTAGTATGAGAACACACCCAGAGTTTCAATCATACGACAGAAGAGGAATTAGCAGGCTACGTAACGTTGTGCAATAGAAAAGTTAATTAATGGCTTCTGTCCATCAAATGAAGTTTAGAAAAAGTACCTTCATGCCCAGAACATCTCGGTAAAATGTGGCAGTTTTGGCCCTGTCACCAACTTTGAAAACAAAATGCAGCGCTCGTCTCAAAGCCATGTTTCTTACAGATATATTGATGTCTGTATCACAGATCAGTGTGCAGATAGCGATTACACTTCCTTGATGATCGATTTTTCTGTCGTCGATTAAAGGAGGGTAAATACAAATGAACAAACTGCGGGCATTTACCGTTGCAAACACCCCTAGTTTTTTTATTTACTTTATTGACAGTTAATTAAGATTATTAAACTACTGTGGCTAAGCGAAACGAATTTACGCGAAATAAAAAGTAGTAAAACTATGTTTGCCACCCCTAGGCGTTCAGATTAATGGTATCACCCAAAGTGTCACATTCTCTCGCGAGGTTACAGATGAGCAACAGCTTTGACCGTTATCTCAGTTTGGAAAAGAAATAGCTAGATAAATATAGGAAACATATAGTATAATCTCTACACTGACTACGCAGCGAATTATTAACCACGCAGTGAGTTATTAATTTTGTTTATAATTAAACTAGAATTGAATTTTAGATGCTGAAATGTAGTATTCCCAACACTACAGCAGGCGGCGCTAAAAAGCTTAGCTAGTGTTAGCATACCGCTCTGTGAAACCAGAGAAGAAGAAACAGGGCAAACATGGCAGCGTACATGAGGAGCGTGATATGTCTTCTTTCCATTGAGCGGAATGCTTTTCTATCAAAGGGAGGTGGTGTTATTGCGGAATCAAAACGGTATGTACGTGGACTGAGGAGGAAACCTGTCCGAGTGTTGTTCCCCGAAAACGACACGGATAAAGTCCCCAAACCGACGCCACAGCCTCAGTCACCAGGTCTAAATGTCAAAACGAAGAAGGAGGCGAAAGTCACAGCTACAACAGAGCAACCCGAAGCAAGAGACTTTGTTAAAGGGAAGAATAATGTGCAGTCAGTTACAAAGCCTGCTTTTACAAAGGATCACATTGATGGTCTGCGCTTCGAGAGGGCTTTACCTGGAGATAAGAGACTGGCGTAAGTGTCACTTCATTAAGGCAGCAGGAAATTACTGTCATGATGGTCACAGTAACCAGTGGTGAAAGAAGTATTCAGATCTTTTACTTCAGTAAAAGTAGAATACTGCAGTGTACAAATAATCTGATACATGTAAAGAAAAATACAAAATCTTATTCAAGTAAAAGTACATACAATTATGTATTATATTACTGGACTATAATTAGTGATGCATTAATGTGTACATCACTTTGCAGCTGGTAAAGGGGGAACTCAGTTTAATGAATTTCTATGCTGCTGGGTAGCTTAATCTATAAAATATATTGGAATTTATTTGTTGCTTTATATGTTGTATTGATAGTCTGAATCTGCAAATCAACCTAAGTTGTCAAATAAAAGTAGTGGAGTAAAAACCACAGCATTTACCTCTAATATGTAGAGCATTAGAAGTGTAAAGTAGCATAAAATGGAATTACTCAAGTGAAGTATGGGTACCTCAGATTGCAGTTCAGCACAGTACTGGAGTGAATGTACTTTGTTACATTTCACCACTGCAGATAACAACACTGGCGTTTAAAAGAAAAGGTCTAAATCGGATGGATCATGAGATTTTATCATCGTTCTTCTTCAGGATAAAAGAGCCACTGTCAAGCCTGCATGAGTCAGTTGTTTAGACAGCAGTAGGGAAATGTAACCAAGTACATAAGTGAAGTTTTGAAGTGCTTATACTTGAATATTTCCATTATGCTACTTTTATATTTGTACTTTGCTACATCTCAGAGGCAAATAATGTCATTTATGCACATTTTTGACAATTATAGTTACAAGTTATTTTCCAGCTTAATATATTTTACATAAAAAGAGACGAGTAGTCTATAAAATATGATGTATTTAGATTACAGCACTACGGTTTAAAATGATGCTTACACATATTATGCATGAGTAAGAATATGTCACTGATATAATGTAAACACACAACGTGTTCATAGATCATTGAAAACAACATGTCTCATCAGATCTTTAATGTTGTTTATACATTCTTTGATCACATAGTGCTAGGTTTAAATTACACTTTTGTCCATTTTGGAGTACTCAGGAAAAGGTCACTTGTGTCTAGACAGTCTTTACCATGTTTGATGAAAATAAAGAATTTTGTAGAATTTTTTAATATTTATTGAAGACAGTATATTTTTGACAGCGGTATTGAAAACTGTAGATAATATGTAACAGTCCTGTGCCGGTTTAACCAGTATTTTTTAATGATAACAGTTTGAGTTAGATTTTACTGATAGTGCTTTCATACTTTTTCTTAAGTAAAGTTCTGAATGCAGGACTTAAACTTGGAGGAGATTTTAATTGTGGTAATACTACTTTCACCAAAGTAAATGATCTAAATACTGTTTAATGATAAGAAGTTGTAAACCATTTTTTTCAGTTGACAGTTTCAGTTGCCGCCTTTCTGTCTTGTACGACATATATATATATATATATATATATATATATACACACACAGTACAGGCCAAAAGTTTGGACACACCTTCTCATTCAATGCGTTTTCTTTATTTTCATGACTATTTACATTGTAGATTCTCACTGAAGGCATCAAAACTATGAATGAACACATGTGGAGTTATGTACTTAACAAAAAAAGGTGAAATAACTGAAAACATGTTTTATATTCTAGTTTCTTCAAAATAGCCACCCTTTGCTCTGATTACTGCTTTGCACACTCTTGGCATTCTCTCCATGAGCTTCAAGAGGTAGTCACCTGAAATGGTTTTCCAACAGTCTTGAAGGAGTTCCCAGAGGTGTTTAGCACTTGTTGGCCCCTTTGCCTTCACTCTGCGGTCCAGCTCACCCCAAACCATCTCGATTGGGTTCAGGTCCGGGGACTGTGGAGGCCAGGTCATCTGCCGCAGCACTCCATCACTCTCCTTCTTGGTCAAATAGCCCTTACACAGCCTGGAGGTGTGTTTGGGGTCAATGTTCTGTTGAAAAATAAATGATGGTCCAACTAAACGCAAACCGGATGGGATGGCATGTCGCTGCAGGATGCTGTGGTAGCCATGCTGGTTCAGTGTGCCTTCAATTTTGAATAAATCCCCAACAGTGTCACCAGCAAAACACCCCCACACCATCACACCTCCTCCTCCATGCTTCACAGTGGGAACCAGGCATGTGGAATCCATCCGTTCACCTTTTCTGCGTCTCACAAAGACACGGCGGTTGGAACCAAAGATCTCAAATTTGGACTCATCAGACCAAAGCACAGATTTCCACTGGTCTAATGTCCATTCCTTGTGTTTCTTGGCCCAAACAAATCTCTTCTGCTTGTTGCCTCTCCTTAGCAGTGGTTTCCTAGCAGCTATTTGACCATGAAGGCCTGATTGGCGCAGTCTCCTCTTAACAGTTGTTCTAGAGATGGGTCTGCTGCTAGAACTCTGTGTGGCATTCATCTGGCCTCTGATCTGAGCTGCTGTTAACTTGCGATTTCTGAGGCTGGTGACTCGGATGAACTTATCCTCAGAAGCAGAGGTGACTCTTGGTCTTCCTTTCCTGGGTCGGTCCTCATGTATGCCAGTTTCGTTGTAGCGCTTGATGGTTTTTGCGACTCCACTTGGGGACACATTTAAAGTTTTTGCAATTTTACGGACTGACTGACCTTCATTTCTTAAAGTAATGATGGCCACTCGTTTTTCTTTAGTTAGCTGATTGGTTCTTGCCATAATATGAATTTTAACAGTTGTCCAATAGGGCTGTCGGCTGTGTATTAACCTGACTTCTGCACAACACAACTGATGGTCCCAACCCCATTGATAAAGCAAGAAATTCCACTAATTAACCCTGATAAGGCACACCTGTGAAGTGGAAACCATTTCAGGTGACTACCTCTTGAAGCTCATGGAGAGAATGCCAAGAGTGTGCAAAGCAGTAATCAGAGCAAAGGGTGGCTATTTTGAAGAAACAAGAATATAAAACATGTTTTCAGTTATTTCACCTTTTTTTGTTAAGTACATAACTCCACATGTGTTCATTCATAGTTTTGATGCCTTCAGTGAGAATCTACAATGTAAATAGTCATGAAAATAAAGAAAACGCATTGAATGAGAAGGTGTGTCCAAACTTTTGGCCTGTACTGTATATATATATATATATTTCAATTTACAGTGTTTCCAAAGCAGTATCATAATCATGATAATTCATATTCACACTGCCTGTAATCCATCTCTGCCTCTCTATCTTTCCTCAGGAGGTTAGTGAGTGTTGCTCGTTCCAGGACGTTTCGGGAGCACCAGGGTAAAATCCTCCTGGAAGGCCGGCGTTTGATCTGTGATGCCCTGGATGCTGGAGCCAACCCTCAGATGGTGTTCTTCAGTACCATTGATTGGCTCCGAAAGCTGCCCTTAGACAAGCTGAAAAGGGCCACGCTCGTCAAAGTCAAGTTTGAGGACATCAAGATCTGGTCTGACCTCATGGCCCCACAAGGGGTGATAGGTGAGGGTCGCAATTTTTTGTTTTCATTTAAAATGAAGCACAGGTGCTCTGAGTTGTTGTTGCTGACTTCTGCTTCCTCTTCTGCAGCCATATTTTCTCGTCCGAACCCGTCACGATTGAACTTCGCAAATAATGGTCATTCAGTGCCGTTGTCCCTGATATGTGACAACATCAGAGACCCTGGCAACCTTGGGACTATGTTGCGATGTGCTGCTGCTGCTGGCTGCCGTGAAGTCCTGCTCACCAAGGGTATGCTTTCAATTAAAGATGTGAACAAATGAACTCCACCCTTTGAAAACAGCTTTGCTTGTTTGCTTGTGATTTTTTAAATTTGTTTACTTTTCCACCGACAGGTTGTGTTGATGCATGGGAGCCTAAAGTTCTGCGTGCAGCAATGGGAGCCCATTTTCGCCTTCCCATCTATTCCAGTTTGGGGTGGGATGATATGGAAAAACATCTCCCTAAGCTTGTGACTGTCCATGTGGCCGACAGCAACTGTGGAGCTGACAGAAACCGAGAAACAGAGGCTTCACAAGTTAACGTGTCTCACAAACCATCCAAAGCAGGGGACTACGGCTGGGTCAGCACAAGGAGTATTTACAAAAACACGCACTACGAAGAATTGGATTCTGATTTAGATTCAGATAGTGATGACGAGGGACTTTCACTTCCCAGAGTGGACTCAAAGCTGTACCATGAGAGCTGGGCTCAGAGTCCCACTGCTCTTGTGATAGGTGGAGAGACACATGGTCTGAGTGTTGAAGCCGTCCAGCTGGCTGAGAAAACCGCCGGTCACAGGCTCTTTATTCCTGTCGCTCCTGATGTGGACAGCTTGAATTCAGCCATGGCTGCCAGTATCCTTTTGTTTGAGGGCAGGAAGCAACTGATGAAACTGATGCAGACACCTGGAAGGAAATGGAAACCTACAGCTGAGCAGCAGCTTTCATGTTAGCTCTTAATATCAGTGTATGCTGGTGTATACTTGTCCTTGTTACTGCAGACTGAACTGTATTATTTAAATTTCCATTCACCATCCTGTCCTGCTAATAATAAAACCAAAAGCATTTGTGAAATGATTGTCTGAATCCATGTTGAGTGCCTGTGTGTTTTGTGTGAGAAAATAGTGAAAACCGGTCATTAGGATTCCCTAGCCCAACTCCAAATTCATTTTTTATCCACTCACCAGTCCAAACTCAGGAGATTTTCAGTGTAATTCCATAGATGACATACAATAAATCTAACAAGGGAAGGCTGAAATAAATTATACAGGATTCCTGCATATCCTTAAAGTCTTTGTAAATCATTGAATTAATCTAAAAAGAAGGCCTTAATTGGTATTAAAGTGTCTTTAAATCAGTCTTTCAAGTCTTAAATATGCTAAGACATGGAAAGTAGGATTTTATGAATTGTTTTTTTCTGATGTTGCATTTTAAAATCTCAAAATAATTGGTCACACATTTTTATTTTTTGTAATAATTTACCAAATGCCTCTCACATTAATGTCACACAGATCAGCGTAGCGGAACTAACAACGCTCAGCTAGCTATCATTGTCCCCTGGGTGGAGTGGGGAAGTGCAAATGCAATGAAAAGTGACTGTTTAACCAAGATTTCATGGAATGGATGACACTATCATGAGGCAATCCATATGAGGCTCCGTATATGTAATGCAAAAGGTATTTCAAAGTTGGCATGATGGGAATCAAAGCAGTGAAATCCCACATGCAGAGTGAGAAACACAAAATGCCAAGATGTTAGTTATTTTCCAATTTGGTTCTACCCTCGTCTTCACCATGAGACAAATCATGTTAATTTGTTACAATAAACATTCAGCAAAATTGTCCCTAACCTCCCTGTAACTGATCTCTGTTCATTTTCCCCCCCATTCTGTTTTGGTTATTGTAAAATTAAAATTTCTTTCTGATGGACATTAAAAACAAATCTAACTTGCCTGAAGCTGTAGAAACACTGAATCTGGGGTTAGGAAAAGTTAAATGACTCTCCCCTGCTCTCTAAAAAAAGTAAAACTATACCACCCACTTCAAAGAAAATTAAAAGCATATATACCTTCCTGTTACTCATTTTCAAAAAGTTCATAAAAGCTTTAAATAGATGCATGCACCTGGAATATTCATTCTAGAAAGAAGAGACTGTCCATCCTTTGTCTGCAGCCATATTGTCTATGCAAATATGCAGAAGCCACTACACTTCCATCCCACCTGGGGTCTGCATACTGTGTCTCGTAATAACTGCAACATTTGCATTAAGCCCATGAGTCTTACCCCACAAAGGAACTGGTGAGTCACTGCATTGTGTTTATTTTACATATCCAAGAGCTAACTTTATTGATAGAACTTAAAAGGAACAAAACTTTGTGCTTGCCAGTGAATTTTTAATGGGCGTGAGAAGTCATGACTGAAGTAACAGAATACAGGGATTTATACATTCAACACTTTTCAAATGCCATGTCTGCGCCTTCAGAAATAACCTGGCCTTTTCATTAGGGGACCTTCACAGAAAATCCTCGTAATGACTTTGAGATGAGAACCACCATTAACAACTGGCAAGAGATGACTTTCACTCACATCATAACACACACAACAAGACACAGGGGTTTTTAAAACATCAGTCATTGGTCTGTTACAAGCAAGTATAATGTGATCTTTACTGTATGTGCACCTGTTTTTTTTGTTCTTTTTACTTTAAATAGGGCCATAAAGGCTTACGGCTACATCCAACTGAGGTTCAGCACATTTGCACTACAAGTGAATTACAACTGTAAAAATGCATTTTATTCTTTCTCAACATCATTCAGAAACCAAAAGTATCAAGAATCTCGCAGACAAAAGAGAAAGCAAAGAATCAGCTGAATAAGTAGGTCCACTGGGTAATTCTCTGGTTTTCTCTAGAGTTCAGAAATGCTATTAAGTGAAGAAAAAAAAAAAAAAAACTTTTCTTGAGGCCAAAAAAAATCTCCATATATATTACTGTAGGGACTATTGTCAATGCAAGGCACCACAGGAGAAAGAGAGGACTCCATGAAAAGAGGAACATGTCTAAAAAAAATGTTAAAATGTCAGTAAAAAGCGAGACATCTCTCTAACAGTCTGACAGAGTCAGGGGGGAGGTTTGGAGAGAGAGAGAGTGGGAGGCTGGGAAGGGTGGTCAGGGTTCGATGATGGAGTGAGTCCCATATAGTATGTCCCAACTATATTTAGATGGGCTCCGGTTTGAGCTTTTCAGCCAGGAAGTCGCCGACAAATTGCTCCACTACGGCCGGCGTGATCTCCTCCACGTCGCGAACATATTTGGCACGGGCCGACATGTCCAGGATGGTGAGCAGAGGTGCAGCTTCAGGGAGGTTAGTGTAGTCCCTCAGGGAGTCACTCATGTCATCCTGTGGTGGGAGAGAAAAGATACAGTGATTAGGTGTGATAGTGTGTAATGTTACAGTGGTACATTCCTCACATGCTGGGATGGATTACTGGGAGCAGGTCCAAACCACAGCCTCTGGTTAAAGTGACTTATTTACGTCTTGTTGGAGAGTCAAAAAGCTCAGTCAAAAGAAAGGATGTCTTCATCACTTTTCGTTTTTTTTGCTCACATGCATAGGCAGATTATGACCAGATGGGCCCCTGGGCCTGGATACAAAAAAGACTCCCCATACTATACTATTTGTGGACATTATTGGCAGCTGTTCTCCTTTGAGTTAGCTGCCAACTGCTGATAGCTGCTTTTAAATCTCCCGGCGAAAGGTCGCACATGATACAGTGTGAAAACCTCACAGCCCATCAATGGTCCTTACACACTGTTACTACCGCCGCTGCCAGCTTATACTGTAGGCGAGACAACTCTGCCCCCCCCAAGCCCTTGGGCCCCTGTAGGGTAGGCCCGTTCGATAACACACCCACATGACATTTTTATCTGCCAACACAGTAAGCTTCCATCAAAATCAGTAAAGTAATTCAAACATGCTGGAAAATAAAATAGCTCTGCTCTGAAAATATAACTTTTTCCACTGGCTTCCTTATTTATAAGGTTTCCTGTAGTATTATGTATAGTGTCATATGCTCTGTTCCCACAGTGAGAGTGGGGACCTGCCAAGGAGTTGTAACATGAATCTGAGGGATTATTATTATTTTATTATTAGAAGATTGTAAAGGAAACAGGAAATAAAATTGCTTTTTTTTTTTAGACTATTTTCTTTTTTATTTGTCTAACAAAAAAAAAAAGATTAGGTAGGTGTAGAAAAAGTACTGAATTTCAGCACATTGTGAGCTCCAAGTTTATTGAAAAAAAAAAAAAATTTAATGTTTATTGAAAATGCAACATTGCAGTGCTGACAGTGTGCAGGAATTCAACATTTTCTTTTGCGTCATTTCATTTTCTTGCACACGTGTTGACAGAGATGGGACCAAGGGATTGCTTTGCAAGTCACTAGTAAGTCTCAAGTGTTTGTGCTCAAGTTCTGAGTCAAGACAGGCAATTCCCACATCCTGAGTCCCTAAGTCCTTCCTTTGGGTTTCCAGTCATAATGCACTCTTCACCAAATGTAATGCCATTTTAACAAAATTGCACTTTCAGCATATAGCACTATTAGCCAGCACCACAACAGAGTGAATTCTGTATGTGTCTGCCCTGTCTTGTTGTATTAATAATATCTCATCATGAAAAATGTCTCTAACTGTCTTTTCTCAAATTTGTAAGACATTTATAAATGTCATAGTATGTATGTTTTTGCATGTTTTATGTCCAAATGAAACAAAAAGACTAATGATAATGTTATTTGATTTAGGAATGAATTGATTCGTGGCACATACTTACATACTTTTAAATCTTTGGGGCTTGGGGGAAGGTATCAAGTGCTTTCAAGTCAAAAGGCTCAAGTTCAAGTTAAGTCACTGAGTCCAAATTGAGTTGTACTGTAAGTCCTTTTTGATTTTGTAAAGTCGAGTCTGAAGTCATCAAATCTGTGACTTGAGTCTGATTTAAGTCATAAGACAACACTTAGCTTGGCTTTCTTTCTTGTAAATTAATAAAAAAAAATGTACTTCTTCAGGCCTCTATTATTCAAACAAAACAATCCTAGAGATGAGGAATCTATGTTGAACTGGCTACAACCCATTGACATATGCAAACTGACAAGGGGTCCCAAGGAGACATCGCTTTGGTTAAAAGGGTTGTAGGTCAAAAAAAGAGAAGCTGACAACCACTTGTTTAGACATCCCATCCTCATTTACAACATGGACAAACTCGGTGACTTGCTGCTATGTAAAGTGTTGGGGGAGCTTTTATATCGGCTCTTGTCTTATGAATCAAAGCTCACATGGCATTTGAATAACTTCGACAAATATGCAAGTCAAACACTGGAAACGTTCCAGGAGAGAAGACAGTGTAAATTACACACTCCTCTGCTGCTCATCAGTTCAGACTTGCTTTTGGCGAGGGAAACTAGGACAGCACCCATTACTTGAACTATGCCACATTAAGATAACCCCATAAAATTCATAACTGCCTGGCACAATCTTTATTAATGCAAGCTTCTTGAAAGAGAATATGAAACTCTCTCCCGTCTTCCTGCAGGCAGCCTGCCCGGAGAGACCGGAGCGTCGGTGCTTAGTCACACATCCTGCTGAGTGGAAAGACAGGAAGGAACCAGGTGGGGGTCCAACAACACTTTTCAAAAGCTCCCTCACATCAGATGTAAGTCTCAGTGCAGAGTGTTTGAATGGCACATGTGGGCATGAGAGCGCGCAGTGGAGGAATTTGGTACAAAAAAACTGCTGCTGGGTTTGGAGGGGAATCTACTTTCATTTCTTTGCAGTTATTTTGAAAGGGCTTCGCTCATTTTCTGCCTGAGGCTTGATGTCACCTTTCACCCTTCAACAAGTCAGGATTACAACCCCTGTAGCCACAGGTAACAGAATGAATCACTGGCAGGCAGGCAGGCAGGCAGGCAGCAACTTTCAAACAAGCTTGAAAGGGCCATTAATTATTGAGACTGAATAAGAAATCACACCCTTTTGTAATTCAGCTTCAGTTCCAGCTGGGAGTGCGTCTGCATTTGGCATTCCTACCTTGACAGAGATC